AAAAAAAAAAAAAAAAAAAAAAAAAAAAAAAAAAAAAAAAAAAAAAAAAACTAACAAAAAAAAAAAAAAAAAAAAAAAAAAAAAAAAAAAAAAAAAGAGTATTGCTAATTTTAACCAGCAGTGAAATCACCACTGATCATGTGATAATAAATCTTGTTACGTAATGATTGACAAAAAACTAACCAATAGCTGATCACTAATTAATATAATATAGTATGATCAGAAAAATTTAAAGCAAATATTCGTTTTGCCAAAAATCGCTTATAACTGCATAATAAATCACCTTTAGTACTCTAACAAAAAATCTTTCTTGGATAATTTACTACTATACCACACTAACACCTAAACCTTAAAGTAAAGCTAATCTTAACATAACTGTATTTTTAATCGTTATATACACAAAATTTTTTGTTGACTATGCTGAGGGATCAGCCAATAGTAAATTGATCTTGTGTAATATAGCAATTTGGTACTGGTACATATAATATACCATTTTTATATACATTAACTAAGATGATACAAATCCTAACCTGATAGCAAACCCATCATGCTAATTTTGCTAGAACAGTGATGTTAGATTTATGCAACTTATTTCACAAGATGATACTGGAATTTTAGTTTGCTAATCGATATTGATTATATATACTAACTATAATTAACCAAATTATTATATATATTATTGTTTTTGTTGCTTAGTTGTCTAATCAATTTGACGTTGCCAAATCAATTCAAATAAAATACAACCTGAACTTTTAAAAAAGATTAATTCATTCTTTATTCTTATACAGTACCTAGCAATTGTTATTACATTCATGTTCTTTTAAACAGTTACTATTAGAATCATAAACTACTTCATGATAAAGCTTTTGTATTATATGCTGACCTATTACAAATCTCAGCTACCATTTATAAAAATCAAACTAATTTTTATTGATAACAGCCTATATGCTCTACCCTAATTTGTTAGTCACTACAAATTTCTTACCACTTAAATAATAATACTTACCAAACCATGAATTCTGAATCGTTAAATTCTGCAAATTAATCTAAAAAAATAAACAATTAAGTATGTAAATATTAGATATGTACGTATGTCTGTATATACGTACATACATACAGATATATGTATAGCTTATACGAAATTAAAAAATATTTCATAATAGCCTAACGCCAAGACCAATAAATTTTTTTTCAATTGAGAATGCAGCTAAATTATGCAATAAATAATCTATAATAACCAACAAACTAATTCTAACTTATAATTAATCTTTATTAATTCTACATATTGCTCTATTATAATCCTTGTTCCTATAATTTTGATATGTCTTTCTCTTATCCTTTTCCTTAGCTTCATTATCAACCTGATTAACTTCTGACATTTGTGAATATTACCTTTTTATAACATGTTGACTTTAGATTTCGACATTACTTTTTGCTCTTCCTGGTGGTTTTCATTTTCGCATAGTAATTATAGGGTTCATGATGTTATAATCAACATCTATCATTTGTTCATCTGCTTCTTAGTTTCTTTGTTTATCAAGTATAAATCCCTGACAGATGCCTATTAACTTATCATATGAATTGGTGGCAATCACAATATCAAGTGCTTTTCGCATTATACCTTGTACTCTACCATATTTTTGTCACGTATTATTAACCTCTCGTAATGCTGGACCATATACTTCAGCACTTCTTATTTGTTTAATATAGTCAAACTTGTATATTGAATATTCACTATCACCTTGATTATGATCTGAATCTACACATAAAGTAATAGGAGATTGCTGCTAAATATCACTACTATCTCTAAAAAACTCATCTTTATACTAATGCATTGCAATAAGTTCTATATGCTATTTGGCCTGAATAGAGCAACATAAAATCTTATAGAAGTGTTGACATGGATATCTATAAGTTATGATAAGATTGCATGTACATTGATGAGACCTATCTGCTAATAACACAACATAATTTAATTTGGCCCCACAAGTTATGACAACTCTCCATATTTCTAGAATTTGATTTAGATTAATCGTTGATATAATTTCGGCAAGATGTATTTTTGCAACTTCATAATTGTCTTCCCATACACTGTCATCATAATCAACATTAATTTGTTCCTATTGGAAGAATAAAATATTATTTTAACCCTTTGTAAATAATAGACTAATGAGAGATCTCTTATAGTATAGATGACGCCATTAATAAAATATATTATTCATCAATTGATTTAGAATAGGTGGCACCTGTATTACAAAAGATCTTTAATGAAGAGTAATTCTTAACTTGATTTATAGTTGTGATATCTGTCTTAAAACAATTATAATAAAACATTCTTGCATTTGATTGCAAACAACCAATACCATTGACTGCAGAAGATACTGTGAAATGATTCTTTCAATAGAGCTAAAATAAGCTTTTGTAATTGATGTAAGACCTGTAGTAGGAATTTGATCCTTGTATTCTTTTATTTGTACATATTCTGATTTCTTGTCAAGTAACAATTGAATTTCTTTTACTAACATTAAAAGTGAATAATTTGATTTAATACAACTATGGATCTTATGATTTAGACTTTCAATTCTTTGAGTACTGTTCATGCCAGCAGTAAATTGATTGTTCGTATAACACATGGCCCACTTGTGCTTAAATGGATCTAGCTGTCACTTTATGTAGCTGTTGATCGATTTATACTTTTCTTTTAAGCTTTCTCAACGACTTTCAAAAATACTTGGAACTAATGTATTTCTACACTTGAAAAATGCATTCTGAAACTCCTTAATTTCTATTAAACTTAGCTTATTCCGAAGATTCTTTTTGTTATTGAGATCAATGTGAAATATATACAAACAATGAATTGAATTCGGAAATTCTAAACTTATTGCATTTGCCATAGCCAGATTGGAATCAGTAAATACAACATTTGGTGTTAAATTTTCTGTACATTTTTTAATCATTTTTAGCACCCATATAAAACTATTTTCTGTTTCATCCTCAAGTAAAACAGCCACGACAAGCCATGTTCTATTACAATTATCAATAACAGCAAAGAAACAGGCCATCATATTATATTTGTTAGTATGAGACATAGTGTCAAAAAAAACAATATCATGATAATAGGTCCACAAAAATTGTTGCTCAGGTAACATCCATATTAATCCACACAAACAGCATTCAACACCATCAAATTTTGCTTCTATAAACCAGCATGAGTCCACTGTGCATTGTGAATATAAGTGCTTCATAAGATCTGATGCATCAAACTCAACCCTTGATACTAGCTTTTTCTTGGCTGATTGAATTACGTTGTAAAGACTCTTTTGGTGGATTTTTTTTTCAGGAAATTTTCCTTTTAAGAGCTGTCTAATGCTTCGTGCGCCAGTTACGCTATGAGTTACACAAAATTCAATGAATTCGACCATATCATCATCAAATTTATGATACTTAACGATATTGGTTTGAGGTGAAGGTGTTATCGAATGATTATGTTTATCCTCAATCGTAATAAAAGTGATCATTAAAGTATTTTTTGAAAGGTTTCCATTAATCCTCCATTCACAATCTGTTGCTCTTGACTTTTGTTTCCTTTGGTTGTTTGAATTCGACACTTTTTTTGCTTGATACTTGCCAGCGCAACTACACTTCTACTAACTCTAAATAAAACTTTGTCACCATCTACTTCAGTTCGTTTCCTTCTAATACTAAAACCTTTCTCTAATACATAGCTATCTAAAAATTTTTCAGCATCGAAAGTTTAACCCAAAGTTAAAGTAAGAAAAACATTATTAGGTTCTTCGTCAAAAGAGTCAGTATCAAACAGTAAAATATAATCATAGACTTGTTCTACAAAACTCAATAACTATCTTTCCAAGTTAACTTTGCTTTTCGATGCGTCAATGATTTTGTCGTTCGTTGATACGTAACTTCTTTCATCAGTATTTCTGTTGTTGGTTAAAAAAAATTCTTTTGTTAACTGCTTCGTTCATTGTACTGTAAATTGCTTTGTTTATTTTGTCATCAACTGCTATGTTCGTTTTGTTGTAAACTGCTTTGTTCATTGTGTTGTCAACTGCTTCATTCGTTTTGTCGTAAACTGCTTCGTTCGTTTACTGTGTTATCAACTGCTTCATTCGTCGTATCATCAACTGCTTCGTTCGTCGTATTGTCAACTGCTACGTTCGTCATATCGTCAACTGCTTTATTTGTCATATCGTCAACTACTATGTTCGTCATATTGTCAACTGTTTCATTTATCATTTCGTTCGTTGTGTCTGTTGTCTCTATTTCGTCGAACCAATTATCTGTATACTCACTTAATATCATAATAAAAAAAATAAAAAGGTTGGATCATCGATCAACTGCAGTAATATTTATACTATCGATTAATTGCAGAACTATTTATACACACAAAACTATATTGCGTAATAATGATCACGTGATTACGTAATCACCAGTAATTTTACCTCTGGTGAATCATAGTTATTTTTTTTTAAAAAAATTGATTTTTTATATTAAATCCTTATATTTGTGTCTTTAACTTCAAGTATCTTGGGATGCACAAGGCTCTAACCATTATTAGAACTAAAAAAATCTTTTTTACAACTTTACTTAGAAGCTTAACAGACCTTAACTTAATAAAAACTTCTTTAATTTTAAAACAATTAATTTTTTAGATATATATATTTTTGGATATTATTTTTTGATGCACCCTACACTCGGTGCACCCCTCTTAATATCTCAAAATTTTACTAGAGTAACTCCTGTTGTATGCCTAATAAAAAATGTTTTCTGTAAAGTTTTTATTCTAACCCAACCCTAAACCTAACTTTAGCTTTAATTTAATACTTATTTATATTGATTTTGCTGTAGTTTGCTATAGGGTGCACTGTGTGCACTCTGCACAAAATAATAATTTCCTATATTTTTTTTTTTTTTTTTATATCTTTACAATTTCGCGAAAGGGTAGATTTTTATTAAGTATTTTTTAGTAATATATTCTTGGTTAGCAAGAGTACATATAGCTATACATGTAATTTTTGGTCGCTTAATTTAAGTAGTCCACCTGAAGGTTCTACACTATATGATATATCTGTAACCTAACTAGAAGATTACCTATTTAAACTCTCTAACATTTCTGTCTTACACCACCACACCAATCTATAACCTCGTGCTGCTTCTTATTAAAGGCCACCCAGATCGACATCTGCTATACTACTTGAACTCTAATTCTATAGATAACCTAGTAGAGTTCTTATACTACCAGATTGCTCTAGGGAGGGTGTAGTACATACCTCTCTAATCTTTCTATGTCCTACACACTTTCAGATTAGGCTACGAATACTTTCTGCAGCAGCTGAAACCACCACTAGCAGTTAGAGCGAACCATTAAACCACACTATTCCAGTATCTGGTACTCTTGCAAGGTTCATTCTGATCCTGATATCTACTTCAAGCTGGTCCTTTATACCGATCTCTCTTCAATTACCAAACCAGTTAGCTCAGACGGGTTGTTGTACCTAGGCTTTAAGTGCCTTTCGGTTTTACTTCCTTTGGTTCTTAATTCTGTAGCATAGAACCTTTTCCTCTAGTGTAACTCCAGTGGCCAAGTTGGTAGACTCTTCTTGCCTTAGAGTTCTCATCTAGTTCTTTGTTCTCCGGTTTTCGACCTTTTCACAGTATTGTTAAAGATCTTCACTACCTTCTTACTCAGGTCTTGCCAAATAGGTTTCAATTATTCTGGTTCCTTAGATTTGGATCGTCAGAGCTTCCATTTTGAGATAGTAGTACCAAGATTACAAGTAATATACCTAATCAATCGTTGAATAATCGTTACTGGTATATAGACCTATTTTTCTAAAAACATCTCTGGTAGAATTCGAACTCTAGACCTGTTGCTTGGAGGGTGACAACTTAACCACTACTCTAAGTTGCCACACCCAATTTTTTATATTAATTTATTATACTTTCTATATTAAATGCTAAAAATAGTAATTTTTGTATAACCATGATGGAAATAGACATTTCCTATATTTAAAGTTTAAAGAAAGGTTTATATATATATTTTTACAAAAATTAAATTTAAGTAATTTTTTTGCATAAATTTATATATAAAATTGGTGTAAGTCAACTTATTTGATTTATAAGTAACAGCAATAATAGCATATGTTTTATTCTATATTATGAAATAAGACTAATAGTAGCTTAACTCAGAGTTTTTATATATTTTATACTTATATTGTTTCATATAACTATACAGTAATTATATGGGTCTTTTTTATATCATAAGTATTATTTATTTTTTTATCTTTTCTGTGCTATTCATTTAAAGACTAACCTCTTATTTTTATTTATTTTTTGCCTTTATATTGCTTAGATAATTATGTAACTTTGTACTATATTACTTATTTTAACAATATAATTTTCTATACTATTCTATACTTTACTTTTACCTGTCATAATTATTTATTAACTGTAAACATTGATCATGGAATGTGAAAACAATCGGAAAATAAAATGTATATTGAGAAAATTAAAATTTATGAGCTGCATCGAAAAAGTTACAGAGTCGATATATATAATATCTTCAAACCCAAAAATACCACTACTGATTAAAATACTTTAACCAGAACACTTAAGCTGCTTTAACCAATCACTAGTATTGGTAAGGCAATGATCAAGGCATGAAAAGACTTGGTCCAAGTAACTGGTATGAATTGATTAAGCCAAAATAGAGTTGTTTTTAGATAAGTGTCTTTTTATCTCTTTAGTAATTGCTTTACTTTCTTTAACACCTTTGTTAAAACTTGAAATTCTTCTTTCTATAGGTACTGTGGCTGGGTTTTGTAATCTAAATTGACCAATTGGAATATAACACAAGGTTACGATATCATAGGATCTCGAATCAGGGATAATGACATTAATCACAAACATAATTAGGATTAATTTTAAATATAAAAGACTTGTATTCCTAATACAAAGCCTCTTTCTTACTAAATATGACAAACAATGTGCA